AGGGGGGGGGAAGGAGGCTGTAACTCATCTAATAGCATAGCATTAAACAATTTTCTCCAATTTCTTTGAGTTCAGGCCTTCATGATCCTTATTTTCCTTTTAAGAAATTTTATAATGAAAAAACACATGTTCTTTCAGAGCGTGCTCCAACAACTGAAACCAATATGTATGGCAAATAAAATTTGTGTGCAAGCAATGAGACCTCAAAAGTGCCATTTGCACCTTTTTTTTTTTTTTTAATTTGATCACCAACAGTGTATCATCAGCATCGCATCTCGTGTTTTCACAAGGTCAAGGACAAATGAATCCAGATGCAATCCAAAGACTGATGTTCAACCCAGTGTATGAACAATACCCTCAAAACAATCCCCATGGAAGCCTTTTTCTATACAGGGAGATTTTGTCACACATTATTAAACACCATTAAGGACAGTCTCTTGTGATATATGGAAAATCTCAGCCAAAAGGCAAAACTTCAGAAAAAGGGTACTTCCATTACGTGTAGGAAAATGAGCAAATACTAAACATTGTGCAAAAGGAAAAGACTTTATTTATTTTAATACCGTATTTGATTTGAAAATTTCAAGCACTTCAGATCAGAAAACCAAACTGAATTTTGCTTTCTTAAATGCATCTATAGTCAGTGTGGAAGCCATTAATTCTTGAGAGAAACCAGAAATGGCTTTTACAATCTAGTTACTGCTGATAGCCTTTTCAGCTGCCAAGCCTTGCTTGGGTTTCGAGTAATCCCAAGGTCTCCTGTTCTCTGTATACCCATAGAGCTTCCGCAGTGCCACGCGAGCGGCTTCTTCCTCTGCAGCAAGCAGCGTTTCACCAGGACCTTCAGCTATGATCTTCTTATCGCTTGGGAAAAAAAACAATAAAATCAAAAACGTTTTCATCGTAAAATCCTGAGCACTACTGTGTACTGTGAATAAAGGCTGCTAGATTTTTTTTTTCTCCAATGTCTATGAATACTAAAAGTAATTTCTAAATACACACAAATGCAAACATTTCTGTTGGGCTTTTCTGCAAAGATAAGTGAGTGTATATTCAAGAACAGAAACTCAAACCAGAAATGCGCCCATTTCCTGGAAGAGCACTACTCCGTTCATTTAGATTCCTAACAGATCACTGATTCTTTACAGCATTCAATTTGTTAGCCCTGTTAAAAATATACAAATTCTTTATTCTGGTTAGCTTAAACAAAGAAGTGAAATGCTTCTGTCTTTTCTCCTCCCCTGGTAAGAAAGTATTTTAAAAATTCCTCAAACGGATTCACAGAGAAGTTATGAAGTATGTTATGAAGTGTGTACTCGGCTCTGTTTAATCAACATCTATGGGCACTGAATAGGCACAGTTCGTGAAGGAACACCAGGGATTCCAGAAGAAAAATAATCAAAGTTCCTTTCTTAGATAAATCTCAGAAGGCATGTAAACCAAAGCATGATAAATCAGAACAAGCTAAGGCAATCTTCCCACGCGTTTATCTCATTTAGCAAAGCAACAACGTGGGGTTTGGTGGAAGAAGGTCCTGTCCTGCTCCAGAGGAGCAACGTTACCCCTGGGCAAGAGACCAGTGCAGGCACTGACCACACCTGAGACAAGCGCACCAGGGACGACTGGCACTTCCTAAGTTCTGGATACAGACACTCCTCTGGCCTAGTTTACAGTGCCCATGATTTGAAAAGCTTCCCTTTAAGCCTCTCTTCAATCCCACCCCCTTTGATGTCTCCCTAAGCCCTGGGTACAGTTGCCATTTGGTTATGCTATTTGCAAAGTTCCTGCGTCAGGTGACACAGAGCATACACCCAGACTCCTCCGTGTGCCCAATTTAGACCTGGCAGCCCTTTAGTCAGGGACTGTCTTTTCACGCATCATTACAGCAAGCTATTGCCAATGCTTGACTCGCTGATTTTATATGGAAGTCGCTGTAAGGTTCCTTTTCTGTAACAACTTGACCAAAGAGCACAGTAGAAAAGTTAAAGATCATCTTCCCTCCTCCCTTCTGCCCCAGCTTAAATCCATTTCACTTTAACTTAATATCGTACTAACCAGTACAATCCAACAAAGTAGAGTGGCAGAACCGTGCTGACTCCCAGCTGCCTGGTAATTCTTGGTTCTGGAGAAGAGATATTCCTCTTAGTCAGTTCTTCCACTAGTAAGCCCATAGGATTTACAACTTCCCAGATCTCAAACAGGTCTTTTCCAATCAGCTGGGGAATAAAAAAATCCTAAAAAAATAATAATATTTAGAAGTTATAATTAATGGGAAAGGGAATGAAGGCTCTAGCCCTCAAAAAAAAATACAATATGAAGAGGCATTAACATAGTTGACAGTAAATTGCTGAAATGAATTACAAAACCGCCTCAGCACTCCATCGCAGCCAAGCGCAGCTAACCAGCGTGGCTTCGCTCGGTAGCTCTGGTTCCGATTTAGCCGCTGACAGGGTGTGCGCCTTGGGCAAGGTCAACCGCCCAGACGTGAAGAAGGAACAGCACCGCCCTGAGAGAGGGGTTATAACAACGCTTACGCACAGCTCTGAGCCCGAGGAAAGCAACTCCAGCTGCTTGTAAAAAAATCCAAACAAGTTGTACATCAGAAGGGTTCTGCAAACAGGTGAAGGGAACTCAGGGGATTTTCAGCTGTTGTGATCGTTCTCTTGCCTGTTAACCGCTATATCCTCTTACAGAGATGTCTCAATGGTCTTGTGTCAGAAATAAGATTTTAGCAAATATTTCCCTACTGAAAAACTAGGAATAAGTGAAAAGGATTACTGAAAGGACAGCAGCTGCTAAAGCTACTTTGTTACACTGCATTTTAATTGAACATTTTTGTATGAGCTATCTCTAGGTGCCTGCATTCCTACATGCAAAATCTATGAACTCAGCCCCTGCTTTCTATAACATGGTTCTACAAATCGAAGGTATACGTGACCTTAAGTGGGATAATCTCATTACTTGATATGTGGTGCAATGCATGGAATATAAAGCTTTCCCTTAGCAATTGTCAGCAAATATTAAAACACCACCATTACAAACCAGAAGTATATGATTTTATCTACCTGACCAGTCTGTGCTTCCTAAGAAAAAAAAGCCCCAAACAATAAAACCAAAAACCCCACCAGACTAACCGATCTCACTGTTAAACTGGATTGTTGCAGGTACTGTAAAACTTCTGCCAACCTCGCTGGATCTCTGGCTGTCAAGGTACAAGATAGTATTTCGTTGTTGCCTTTTTTCCCCTGTAACTTCTGACTGAGACCCTTAGATCTTATTGTCGTTAGTGCAAAGATGTATCATAGGTAGAGACTTACCCTGACAAAGATCCCTGTTTTCTCGGGCCCGCTGCTATCGAGCAAGGCTCCTATCACAGCAAAGAACGTCCTCTGTAGCACATCTGGCGGGACAGGAAAGTCTTTGCAAAGTGTCAGGTCTTGTACAGACAGGTTCTGAGCCACATAAGAAACAAGTTCCTGACTGGTAAGAAAATCAACAAGCGCTCCTATCCCCTTTGCAGGTAAATCTGGGTAGGCACCTTCAAAACACTGCGTCAGGAAGGAACGTGAAAAGGACATCCCTTGCTCAGCAAGCTTACTATTATCTTGTAGATTAAGAGCAACTGTTTCTTTGTCTAGCCCAAGTTCTCGGCGCCTGGTCTCTTCACTTTCAATATAACAAGAATTAACAAATGCAGTCTTGAGAAGATTCAAAGAAAAATTTTCATGTAGCCGGCGGCTGAAAGCTTGTATCTCTGCGTGGTAATCCCAGTTGGGCTTCTCTGATCTACAGACGTGGAAAAGAAAACAAATTCAGAAACAGAACAAGAAGTTACCCGAACTGCAAGCCCCATGCCCTTCCGAGGATCGAAAGGGAATGAAAAATGGAATTGTTGTTGAAGATCAAGCCCAGTGTTTAAAAGCCTTGCTGTCAAACGGAGATTTCTTTGTTAACACGATCGGTTCGCTCAAAACCGGGGCTACGCTCACCCGCGGCGTTAAAAACGTTCTGCTCCAAAGCGTGACGAGAAGGTGCTTAAACGTTTTGACTTCGCCTGTTTCTTAGCCT